AGGGGTGGTTTCGAGGAACCCCCCTCCGATGGCTAAGTAAGGGTTTTCCTTTTAAGAGAGTAGAAATCTTAATATGCTTAAAGAGAGAGAGAGAGATTTATCAACCCCCTTTATGTGGCATTTGTGGGAGTATATATAGTGTATGATAACCCTAATTTCAGTGGCCAGCCTGTAGCCGACTTACTTAGGTCGAGCTTGCAACCGCAGCTATTACCGACTCACCCCGGTCAAGCTGGAAACCGGTGCCTATATCCGACTCACCCTGGTCGAGCTGGCAACCGGAGCCTGTGACCGACTCACCCTGGTCGAGGTGGCAACCGGAGCTTGTGACTGACTCATCCTGGTCGAGTCCTCAACCGAAGCAATTATGGCCAGTGGTAGTAGACTTAGGTGACCTTAGACTGAGCCGTTACACAATTGTAGTCCAGGCGCGTCATCCCCGGAGTGTCTGAGAGCGGGAGATAGTTCAACATCAACTACCCTATACAACTAGCCCCCCAAGAGATGGTATGAGGTGACACATGCCAGCTCTTTTGGTCGTCACTCATCCCTTGAGTGAGCAAGGGAATTGCTCAGCAGGAGCTATCCCATACAACTACCCCCCCCCCCCATGAGGTGGTATGAGGTTACTCATGCCAGCTCTTTTGAGATCGTAACCTTATCGGTAATTACTCAATAGGCCGTCTGACTGAGGTTCCCTTCATACAACTAGCCCCCCAAGTCTTAGGAGTGCTTCCGCAGTTCTAAGACTTAGAGAGATAAGTTACCAGGTGATAAAGTTGTCATTGCTGATTACGCGAAGGACTGTAATTACGAGCTTGAGCGAAAAATTTCAGTTACTCCCGTTGAAGATTGAGAAGTTACGGGTTGGAGCTAGGAGTTTTGATTACTGCTGTTGAAGTTTGAGAAATTATAAGCTTAAACAAGGAATTTCGATTACTCCCGCTGATGTTTGAGAGATAACAAGCTAGAGCAAGGAATTTTGATTACGTTCGCCGGAGTTTGAGAAATTACGGGCTGAACTTAAACAAGGAATTTTGATCACTCCCTGAGAAATTTTCTTTTGTTGCTCTCCTTGCTTTGGATGAACATGTTTTAACTTTGTAGACTATATGTGTGCTTATTTTGCACTTGGTCACACTTTTAGAGGTTTATTATTCGCTACTTGTGTGCTTATTGTTTTAACGCTTAATCTGCTAGTGAGGCTTGATTTTATGCCACTCACTTTGAATAGTGAGGGCTTGATTTTATGCCGCTCACTTAGAAGGGTGAGGGCTTACATGTTGAAGAATCAAGTGGGGCAGAACCAAGAGAGCCTTGGGGCCTTCCACTCTATCCTATTTTGCTCGCAAGAGTGTCGAAGAGAAGTACCTAAGAGATCCTTGGTACCCCTCACTAATTCTCTGCGATGTACGACCGAACAGTTATCCTCCTGCTCGCTACTTAGTCCAGGGAGCGAACTTTGAACTAGAGCAGCCAAAACTAACAAGACATGGCAACATGACATGACCTGACACGAAAAATCAGGTTAATTTAAAACATGGGTATGAAAATGACATGACACGACACTATTGTTGTTGGGTTTTGTAGTGTCCAAAACTACGCGGACTGAAACCCTCCCAAAATCCGAACACAAATAAAGTAACTAACATGCATATTTTCTTAAGGAAAATTCATGGCAATAATCGGACCTTTAGCCCATTCTTTTTTAATAATCCGACCTTTCGATTAATATTTAATAATCTGATTTTTGGGGGTCTTTAACTTTTATTGGTCCCAACCGGTCATGTAACCTGTTATAACAGGTTACATGACACGTGGCGGCCTGTGATTGGTTAAAAAAAATTAAAAAAAATCAAAAAAACAAAAAAACAAAAAAACAAAAAAAACAAAAAAACAAAAAAAAAATAACAAAAAAAAAATAAAACAACCAGCCCCTGCCCAGCCACCAGCGCAGGCCAGCCCCCTGCCGTTGGTACGTGCTCCAACAAACGCGCCGGCGGCCACCAGCCTACCTCCTCTTCCCTCTCCTTCCTCCCCTTCCCTCTTCCCCCGCTCTTGCCCTACCATCACTAGCAAACCGAACCACCCCCGCCCCCGCATCTCCCTCACTCGCTTCCTCACTGCCACCACAACATCCCATTTGGTGGTGTTAGATGGGGGAATATGGTTCATGGGTGCCGGAAAACATGGTAAAGGTGGTTTCGGGGCTGCGGTGGTCGGGAAGGGGTTGTGGTGAGGGAGGGGTGAGGTTGGTTGCGGTTTTCGCAGGTTAGGATTCGTTTGAGATGGGTGGGGCGACGATTAAGGGGAGGTCGGAGTAATTGGAGGTGGTTCGGCCGGCGATGGGTGAGGTGGACGCCGGCCGGCCGATTTCTACGCTGGGGGAGAGGGGAGCTGCGTGAAGGGGAGGAGGAGATGGAATGGTGGTAGGGGTCGTGGCAGGGGTGTGGTTTTTTTTTTTAATTTTGGACAAATCAAATTGTGACACGTGTAAATTAAACTTAAAAAAAAAATTACCTCTTCAACTTGTTTTTGGTCAAATGGGACCAATAAAAATTAAAGACCCCCAAAGATCGAATTATTAAAGAAGAATGGGCTAAAGGTCGGATTATTGCCATGAATTTTTCCTATTACTTAGCAATAACATAATTAATTAACAAAGAGAGAGAAAGAATAGACAATCACACCCTTGATGCGTGCTTCGCTCTATCTTAAAGCTCGTACTTGAAAGCGTAGAGCTTCGCAAATGTGCAAGCCTCCAACGACTCTCACCCTCGAGACCCGACCCGAACGGCCCCTACCCCGAAGCTTTGTTGGGGCTAGACCAAAAGAACTTAGAGTATTAGAACAAAAGTGTTCTCGCTTGTGGAGATCCTTTCAAGTTCATGACTCAAGTGCCCTTTCCCAATGCCAAACGATTGGTATTTATAGGGAAAGGAGCCCTTGAATTCCAATCTCCCATCAATGTGGGAGAGTTAGTAAACAGGCATTTATTCAATTTAATTTAATTCTAAAATCAAATTAAAATGCAAATGAATCAACAAACAACAAGTGTCAAGTGGAGAGCAAGGGGTTAGGTGAGGACCTAAAAGGGGGGACCATCCACCCCTTGATCCCCAAGCAATCCCTCAACAAACCAAGCCAATAAGCATGTGCTAGCTAGCGGCCTGCCTAAGAAGCCAAGGCAACCTCGCTGGCGCCTAGCGCCATCGCTGGGCCTGCCAGCCAGCCCGCATATTCGCATGCACAGCCAGCAAGCCAGGCACGCAATGCGGGCTGCTGCTACGTTGCTTTTGGTAGGTAGCGCCTAGCTGATGCGATGTTTGTGCTAAGCTACGCCCAACTAGCTGTTGCGACCATGCGTGAGGTTCAGCAAGCATATGCTTGTTGTTGGCCTTGCGATGAAGCTTGGTTGGCTGCTGGCTTGCCTAGCAAGCGCGACTAGCCATGCTTGCTTTGCAATGCGCGCAAGGCATGCTTGGCCAGCATGCTCGGCCATGCTAAGCATGTTAAGGTTACGGCTGAGCATTACCTTACGGTAGTGGCACTTAGCTAGCCATATTGCCCATGGCCCTCGGATTGCTCGGGGCATTCCGAGGCTAGGGGTATAGTTGTAACTTGTTGTTTGCTTGATTTCTCGTCTCGCCGATTCCTAAATTCGACTCGACTTATGACGCTCTAAGCTCGGAATCCGACGTCTATGTTCGTTATACTCTAATGACTCATTTAATCCTTCTGATTAATTCGTCGTTTCGGTTACTCGATTGGGTGTGACCCGAAGTGTTCAGTCAAGATTAAGTTGCAATATTAATTATACATTAATAATACTGATCGGAAGCGGCCTCCAGCTAGGCATTCTGATCACTGGACCTCACTTGATTAGTGGATTTTTTTCGGCACGTTGACCAATCCAACTCTGCCATGTGTCATGCACGTGGACCAACCAGAGTCCGCCACGTGTCACCTCGTGAGGGGTCTAAGGTGGACCAATCAGGCCATGACACGTGGCAGAGAGTTTGCCAACTAGGAAAGTGGCCTTCAATGGCCAAAATTCCTAGGCAAGCGTAGTTAGACCTAGGTATCTAAAAACATAGTACTGGGCACACATTTTAAGACCCTATAAAAGGGAGAATTCCCCTCTGGGAACACAGGATTCAAAAATCCAAAAATAAACACGTGCACATTAATTGTTGAGCATTAACTCCAGCTTTAATTGCACCTCTTAAGAGCTAAGGCTCGGATTTCAAGGCTGTTTGAGATAGACGGATGATCACTCCACTCCTAAGAGGAGCCTGATCCCCCTTTACGTTCCGCACTTTATACATCCGAACACGTTCTAACTTGATCGTTAGAGGCGGAGCTCCCACCCCCCATATGTTTTGTAGGTACAAGCGTCTAGAGTCCAGTCTTGGTGTTGTAACTCTCCTACAGGACATCCAAAAAACCCTGAAACATTTTGCGTCATCTGTGGGGAGAGTACTTCTATGATAGCTTCACAAGAACCTGTACCGCCTCTTAATGAGAAACGGCTTATGGCCGACGCACAGGTCTATACTGACCAAGATACAGATGACGACCTTGATGTCGACACATACGTTGCCCCTGATGGGTCACTAAGAACTAGGCGCATCCGTCCCGCCGAAAGGAGGGAACGGGGCGACAAACAGGCGGGTCCAAGCGAACCAGTCGTCCAGCTGATTGGTGAACCCCAGGCAGCCGAAGGCTCTGCCCCTATCACTTGAAACGAGCTCCTAGACTCTCATGACAAGTTTCAAAGGGGAGATTAAGGATCAAATTATAAACGGACGGCTGTCTCCACCAAGGATCAGTCGCCTAAAAAGCCATCCCAGTTTGGGAAGAACAAGCCGGTCGAGGACCGAGAGGCCACTCCTTACCCCAAACCTAAGGAGGGACAGAGGCCCTTGATAAATTTAGCCAAACTCCGGTTCCCTGAGCTAGGGAAGAGGAAGGTCATTCGGCATGTTCAGCCAGATGGTTCAATTCAAAGAAAACTTATTCTGATGCCCGGATGTTAATCCAGCAGAAGAAGAACATACAACTGTTAGAGTCGGGCCCTTCGGCCTTTTGGTAACTCGCTCTTTTTCTTTCTCTGTTTCTTCCTCGTCATCCTTATCACTGCGACGACTCTTGGATGGTTTGAGGAAATTGCATTCTCGGGCCTCTCTTTGGCTGCCCAAGATTTTTTCGGAGCGTCCTTCGTCTAAAACGTAGATCATTGCTTGATAATATGTCGAGAACACTCTTTGAACGTCATGGATGAGGGGTCTCCCCATAATGACGTTGTATACTGACGGGGCATCGATGACCAAGAATTCGACCATGATGCTTCGTCTTGCTCGGTCTTGGCCGAGGCTGACGGGAAGAAGAATTTTCCCGTCTGGATATGAAGAAGAGCCGTTGAATCCAGTGATCGGGTAGGGAACTGGAGTTAAGTGCCTGCTCTCCAACTTCAGCTGGTTGAATGCCTTTCGGAAAAGTATATTCGCCCTGCTGCCAGCGTCTGCCAGTGTCTGATAGACGTTGTGGTCTGCAATGCTCGTCATGATAACCAATGGGTCATCATGGGGGTATACCACCCCCCTGCAGTCTTCGGATGTGAACATCATGTTCGGCACCGGAGACTGTGGCTTTCGGAATTCGGCATGGTGAATCTGATGGGTCAGCCCCCTTAGATGGCCCTTCAGTGCATTCCGAGAAATACCCCCGGAAATGGTTAAGATGTCATGGTTTCCTCCCTCGAGAGGTTTGTCCCTTTTCCGGTGGTAATCCAGATCCTGCCGAGAGTCTCTCTTAACTTTCTTTTCTTCGTGGTATTCCGCGACATATTTCATTAAGTACCCTTTCTGGACCAGTTCTTCAATCTGGTCCTTCAGCTGGAGGTAATCCTCGGTGCGATGTCTACGTGATTCATGGAACTCGCACCAATGATCTTTCCCCTTCTTCTGATGCCAAGAAGGAGGCGGCTTCGGTTTCTGGAATCTTCCCTCCTCCCTTGTTGCACTAAATATCTTAGTACGTGGTAAGGTGAGAGGGGTGTAAGATTCAAACTTTCCCAGATAGGGAGCCTTGTCCTTCTTCGGCTCTGTGGTCGAGGGTGGTTCTGAGGCTTTTGCCTTCCCTTTCCTCGACCCTGGAATTTTGGCTGGCTGCCTTTTTGGCTTTGCAAGTCCTAAATGAGATTGCAGCTTGGCCTTGTTCCATTCCTCGGCTCGGATGAATTTATCCGAAGCGTCGAGGGCTTCTTCTAAGGTCTGCGGGGGATGCATGACCATGAAATCCAAAAATTTTCCAGCTTGCAAGTCATTCCGTAGTGCGAATACGGCTAGGCTCTTATCCAGACTTGTGATTCTGGACAACTCGTTGCTGAAGCGAGTCAAGTAATCTCGGAGACTTTCGTCTTCCGCTTGCTGCAGGCCCCTGAGCTCTGCAGTGGTTTTCTCTCGGCGATTAGCCGTGGAAAACGTGCTCTTGAACTTGTTGGCGAGATCACTCCAACCCGTTATAGAGCCTTCCTTCAGCCCTTTGGTGATCCATGATTGGGCAACACCTTTAAGGGTTGTAGGGGAGTATTTGCACCAGGTAGCTTCGGACATGGGGTTAAGGTACATATGCCCCTCATATGAGGCTATGTTGTCCTTTGGATCCGAAGTACCATCGTAAGTGATGTGTGCCGGAATTTTGACTATTGGCACATGTTCCTCCAGTATCCATTTATGGAAAGGTGAACAGGTAGGAACCATCACGGCTTTTCCCCTCTGTCTTTCCGAAGGAACCTCACTCTTCCCTCTCAGAGAGGTGGAAGTGAGGGTTGTCCCTCCGCGTTACAATTTTGGGCGAGAACCTTCAGGATAGGTGAGACGGCTGTGAATGCCTTCTCCCTTTCTCCTAGGCGCTCGTAAACGCTTCGGCGAGAAGCGTTGTGGTTGCTTGGAATTTCCTTTGAGTTTCAGACTTGGGAATTCTTGAAGTGAACGGAGTCCCCTCGCCGTTTGGGTCTTGTCTTACCCAGGCTTTTAGCTCTTTCGCTCCCCTCTCCCTTGGAGAGTGAAATACGCCCTTCCCCTCCCGAACTCAGTTTACTCTTCCAGCTTTCTGACCTCGGCGGGGGTGAAGGAGGAGTGGTATGCACGGATGGGAGGCGTCCACCTAGGGCTTCATGAACTCCATGCAGACAGCCACTGCCCTCGCCACCTCTTCAGTCGAAGGAACGGTGGGAGGAGTTGAATGCATGCTTTGCGAAGGACTCTGCTTATGAGCCTCGCTCTCCCTTGGCGAGTTCCCAGCTTGGTGATCCCATCGGGAGGGAGATCCCTCGCGCATATTTTCTCCTCTCGGAGAGTTAGAAGCAGACGGTGAAGGTGTCTTATCGATCCTCACCGTTATGATGCCCATCTTTCTCGTTTTTTTGGAACTTTTGGCACTCTTAATCATTCTTTGCGTTGGCTAAGATTGGTATGAGAATGTTGGCTGAATTTTTGTAAGTATCCCCACAGACGACGCCAAATATTTTCGATCAGAAAACAATGGACCTTCAGTAGGTCCTTCGGATGAGTGGAGACGAAGCCCAATTCGAGTGATGACCAAATTGAGGATTTCCTGCACAGCTGAAAAAACGTAAACTGGCCTCGAGGGTTGTGCCGAAGAAGGCCCCTCCGATGCCGAAGTCAGTACGAGTGTAAGAACAAGAGAGAATAGCTATGCAAGAGAGTTTGTTACTTGAGGGCAATATTAGTGAATGAATGTAATTATGAAAGAATGTGAGCTTTTATACCTTGTTCCAATTAAGTGGAATGGGCTTGAGGAGTAAAATAGGCTGCCATTTGACTGGGCCTTGTTTTCCCTGACTTGGCTTTAGAGTTTGAGGGTTGAACCTTGCCTATTGGGCTTTGTTTATTTTCATTTGTGGACTGGGCCCAAATACAAGTTATTTGGACCCCAAACATTAGGTATATAAAATAGCGACTTATCACCTAGGAGACGCGTGCTCGACTGTCTAATATCATGATTTAAGTACATTATTATTATTTTCAAAAATAATAAGAATTGAAACTATTTGAAAGCTTGATCGAGTTTGTGTGGTTGCTTTTGCATTAAAGTTGGTGTTATAACACTTGGTCTATGGTCAAGAGGTCCGAAATTTTTAAGCTATTGCCCATAGTTGGGTGATCTTGAGTTATACTTGGTTTATCATTGAGTTATGTATTGCTTTACGCAATTGTAATTTATGAGTTGAGTTGCTTATGTGAAATGCATTGAATTGATTGATTTATATGTGTAAACAAGAAGATAATAATGATTGATGATATGAGGAATAAATTCTTTTGATTTATATTATTTGAAAGGTGATGGAAGGTTCGAAATTTTGGTGTCTTGATGCTCATAGTTGAGTCATCTTAAGTATACTGGTTGATTGTGAAAGGAATGGTGTCCTTCCAACAAGTGTATTCTTCCGATAGACGGTTCAGAATTATTACGTAGCTAATTCTTCAGTAAGGTCAAGTGACCAGAATGCCTAAGTTGAGGCTGTTCCGATTAGTAATATCAATGTACAATTAATGTTACAGCCTAATCTTAACTGAACCCTTCGGGTCGAACCCAATCGAACCACCGATCCGAGACGACGAATTAATCCGAAAGGATTTAATGAGTCAGCAGAGTTTTACGAATACAGACGTTGGAAACCGAGCTAGGGCGTCGAGACCGAGCGTCACAAAATCACAAGCGACAAGTACGAGTGTAGCCGTAGCACCACAATGGTCTAACCATGTGGATGCTAGGCTAGTTCGAGATAGCATGCACCTAGCATGGCTAGGCGCAAGGTTTAGCCACACTAGGTGTGCTAGGCGCACCATCCCAAGCTCAAGGTGCACCGTCGCAGCCTAGGCGCACCATCACAGCCCATCGCATCCCATACAACATCACTAGGCGCACCATGCGTGCCGTAGGATAGCTGGGCACCAATCGCAAGCCAAAGAGCATCACTAGCGCACCATGCGTGCCCTAAGGATGGCTGGGCACCATCGCAACCCAGGCAACATCTTCTAGGCGCACCATGCGTGCCCTAGAATGGCCGGGTGCCGTCGCGGCCCTAGCACAATGCTGGACGCATGGCAGGACCACACGCACCAAGCATAGCTTAGTGCTAGGCACTAGCGCATGCGTGGTGCTTGGCCGAGGCTTATGCATGCATAGTGCATGGTCATGCCCGAGGCTGGTGCGTGTGGCTGTGCGAGTGTATGCGAGGGAGAGCTAGCAGCAAGCAGCGTCAAGCTAAGCATGTGTGGCTTGCTAGCAGCACGCATGCTAGGCATTGCGTTGCTAGAGGGGCTGGATGCGTGGTGCGCATGGTGTGCGAGAATGATGCAAGGGAAAGGCTAGCATGCGTGGCTCGCTAGCAGCACGCATGCTGGCTGTGCTAGCAATGGCGCTACCCTGTGCGTAGGCTGCTGGGGGCAATGCTAGCAGCGCCCAGCGCCAGCACACAAGCATCAGCACCAGCCAGCAGCAGCACGCACTGGTTGGCTGGCTGGGTTGCTGGGCAGCAAGGCACTGCTAGCTGGCAGCCCTAGCTGGCACGCTAGCAGGCAGCCAGCTAGCCTTCCTTGAGCCGGTTTTTTGCAAGGGTGTGGGGACCAAATCAAGACCTTCGGGAGCAAGGCATATGGTCCCCCACCTAACCTTTTCCACCACTCTTTTGCATGTGATCATGCACTTGTCGAAATGTGATTAACTTGATTATTTATTTAATTTGGAAATTAAAAAAATGATTTATTTTCACCACTCCCACATTGGTGGAGGATGAAAAACCAAGGGTTCATTTCCCTATAAATACCATGCTTGGGTATTGGGAAATGAACAACTTGAGTGGAATTAAAAAGACAACTCTAAGTAAGAGTAAACCTTTGATTCGTAAAACTCATAGTTATTTTGTCCGGGTCTTGACTAACCTTTAAGACTTAGGACGCTCGGTTCGGGTCGAGGGTACGATCCGTCGGAGATCTCGTGTTTTCGGGATTTTGAAGTAAGAGCTCTTTGGGAGCGAAGCACGCAACAAAGGTATAATTCTTGTTCTTAACCTTTTTTGATTAAGTTTAATATGCTTGTTAATTGTTTTAATTAAGGGGCGAGTCTTGGTGGGTTTCCTTCCGCGTAGTGTCGGGTCACTACGAAACCCTACAGATTGCTACGTATTGCATCATGCAAATGGAATTCATTGAGTTTTGATTTGAATTGCTCATGTCAAATACTATTCATGGGTTTATTGAAGTGATTTGTTTGTATAGATGTTGGATTAATTCAAAAAGAAATTCTTTAATATTATTACTTGAAAGGTGAAGGGATTAGTATGTATTAATGATTTTGTGACTAGAATCACTACCTTTGTTCAATCTCTTTATGAGAAATTTGACCTTGAAATGTTTACTCAACCACCATGGTTAGTACTATTATCTTTAGCCATTTACATATTAAAGTTAAAAAGTATGAACCTTTATTTGAGAATGAGAAGCACCATCATGACGGAAAGTGGCTAGCAACCTTGACCCGATTCAAAAGTGATTTGTGCTACCTTAAAAATTTTACTATGAACCTAGGAGGAGAGTTGTGGAACCACCAAAGTTGGGGAGAACCAAACGTTGAAAGAATTTGACCAACTTCATTACTTGAACTTCCAACTACCTTTTGTTTATCCGAGACTTCACAAGGAGTTTGTTTCCCTCATTGATGAATCTATAAAACCTTTTGAAAGGCATAAGAATTATCCTTCTCCTACAACAAGTTATGAGACTCCTACCTCATGTAGACATCCAAGCTCAAAAGTCAATTTTCATATTGTAAAAGGCCAAAATTCATGATGTTTCATATTCATATATAAGATTACAAGCCTAAAGTATCATCCACCTTTTCTCCAAGGGTCCAACATAATTTCTTGTAAGCCAATTTGTAGACGTGCTAGCCCACACTATAGCCCAATTTATATTCCAAATTAAAGCTCGAGCCATACTCTAAAATACAGTGATTACAACCCAGCCAGTTTACCCAACTAAAAATCCTACTACACTTTGCGTAGTTATCGAAGCTTATTGAGTGGATAGTAAGGCAAACTATGATGATCCAGATTATGATCCTTCCAAAGAAGACTTTGATTTTGAGAATTCAGATTAAGTGGTTGAATTACTTTGATATGCTTTCAATAAATATCTTAAGTGAAATTATTCTTGTTTCAATTTTTCTATGTTTTGAATGAACTAAGTGTTTTCATGGTGTGCTCCTTTTAATTTTAAGTATGGTATGAATAACTAGGAATTATGTCTTCCAAAATGGGAAATAAGCGATTTGGTTCCAAAGTAGGCAAGGTCCTTAAGAAATTAACCAACATAGCTAAAAACATCACGCAAGTGGTGAACCAAGGAAACTGTCATTCTGAATTGAATTCTTATAGTGAAACCTTTAAAAGGATAGCGGCAGCTAAACCGCCTGTGTACTTGGGAAAGGAAGACCCAGCCACTCTTGAAAACTAGATTAGGGAGTTTGACAAGCTGTTTGATGCCATCAATTGCCCAAGTGAGTTGAGGGTGAATAATGGTGCTTATTATCTAAGGGAGGAAGCTATCAAAGAAGCATAACTTTGGGTGGTATGAGTTCAAAGAAGCCTTGAGAGAGAAGTTTTACCCAGCCTACCTGATCGATGGACAATAGGTCGTTAGTTTACTATCCTAGATCAAAATTACAATTTATATCT